GTTTCTGGGCTTCAGTGTTTGCCAACGAAGCCCCCAATTTCTACGTGGCATCCGAAGGTCGTTTGAAGGATTAGAAGGTGATCATCTATAGGTTTACCAATATGAATGGCTTATTGTTAATTTTCTGATCTCTACATATTATAAGAGGTTAACTCAAAGGGCTGAATCTTACTGAAGCAAATTGTTTTTCCTGTAGGATTCTTTGGGCCAGGGTCATTTTATCCTCTCCTGGGCCCATATCATAGGCACCCAGGTGGCACAGTGGGCTAAGCACAGGGTTGCTAACCTCTAGTTCAGCAGCTCAAAACCATTACCTGCTTCTTCGGAGAAAGATGAGGTTGTCTACTTTTGTAACGATTTACAGAGCTGGAAACCCACAGGGGCAGCTCTGCTCTTCCCTGCCGAGTCCCTGTGAATTGGAATCGACTCCAGGCCAGGGCCCGTATCCTATGTGTGACTTGTGCCCGAAGGGTGAAGTCGAAAGAATGGGGGCTTTGAATCCAGCAAGCACATGTGGTTTGGGGGGCAGCCTCATCAATGATGGATTGTGGGACCTTGATCGAGTTCATTGGCCATGAAAACTGCTGGATTGGTGTGAGGATTAAAGAAGGCAAGAGGTATGAAACATCATCGTAAGCTCCAAGATTCCAAAGATGTGAATTGGGGCAATGACTTCGACCTGCATCTGAGGTTATACCTGTCTCTGACAATAGGAACTGACCAGGGCGGCTTCTGTAAACAGCAGAATTTCAAGCCAGTTGGAATGAGGAAGGGGGCAGAGAGGGAAAGTAAGGCTCGAAAGAGAGTTGAGAACTCCAGTCTCAGAAGCTCACAGGGCCAGGTCTACGCGGCCCTGGAGGGTCATTAAGAGACAGAACTGACTTGATGGCACTGGGTTTTCAAATAGGTTGGGCACAGTGTTTTCATATCTGCATCAAGTGCCTTCCTACAGATGCGTATTACGTTGCACACGCTCTTTAGCTCTAGAAGCCGAGTTCTAACACCTTCTTCAGAAACCAGGAGACCGTTATCTCCAGCCCCCCAGAGTCTGCTTGCAGGCCCATCTGCACCCACAGCCAGCCCCCTACAGAAGCCTGGTGCTTCTCTCCTTCAGTCAGTCCTGCGACTGAAAGACTGTCTCTCTCTCCCAAGAGTGGGCTGAAGAAGAAAAGGTAAGATATGGGCTTGGCACCTGCCTGAGCATCTCTCCCATCTGGGGGGCTTGGTGGGGGACACGAAAGCCCACTGGCATGGCATAGTCCATAAAGACAATGCTTCAGTTTAGGTTCACACATTTCTGGAGGCTCTCAGACATCTAGCAACGCTGGGCCAGTGGGGGCACCTGATGAGGTAGAAAGAGGTAGGTGGTCTTTGGATGGACATGGGCCAAATTTCTTCCACCTGATTCTTGCTGCTTACTAGCTGTGAGTCCCAGGGCAGATCCTATAACCTCGCGTAGTCTCTTCATGTGAAGATGTGGAGATACGAACACGGGCAATGGAGAATTTTGGTGAGAATTAAATGATGATACGATACAAAGTGCTCAGCACAACACTGGCCATCGGCCCTTGCAACCTCCGTATGTACCCATGGGGTGTCCACAGGGTTTTCAAAGTCTGATTCTTCAGAAATAGATCACCAGGCTTTTCTTCCTAGGTGCCCATGGGTAGTCTTGAACCCCCAGCCTCTCTACTGACAAACAGCGCATGAGCTGTTTGCACCACCCAGGACTCCAACATTTAGCAGGAGGGATGCTTGAAGAATGTAATTTTAGTGTGTCGCTTCATGTTCAACTTCTGACTGCGGGAAGGAGAGGCACCGGGTCTGAGGATTTATACTCTCCTTTCTGTTTCTCAATAAAGGGATCTGCTTTCCCCCATCCGATGGCTATATATCGGTCTCAGGGGGTTTTTCAGACATAAAATTTTGTTTTTATTTCCGCAGTCTCTGATGGAAAAATGCAGAGAGAGAACTCTTTCTGAAGGAGGGTCCCTGGGAATGGAGGATTTGCTATTCCAGGTCAGGCCCATGATTCATCCCACCAGAGTTCTGTTGCTCCCAGCTCCCTTCACGTCCTGGTGGTCTTCCCTGCTCCTCCAGCTGCCCATGACCCGCATAAATCTGCCCAGACTCGATTCATGTTTCCCATGAGCACTGACTTTTGGGAGTATGGAGTTTCTGAGTTTATTACCCACAAAGAAAGACCATCCTGCCCCTATGTGTTTGGGCTTGTCTTGCGGAAGTTTCATCCGACAGGTTCCCTTTCTTCCCGCTGTCTGGACACCCCGGAAGGTCACAGCAAGATGTGGCCTTGGAGATCACGGGAGTCAGTGGCTCCGAAACCACCTGGATGGAGACCTTTAACATACACATCGCAGAGGCACTGGGCCTGGGGACTCAGGCTCACGGGCTTGGGGGGGACACTAAGGCCCACTGGCATAGCATAGTCCATAAAGACAATGCTCTCCATCCTACTGAGCAGAGCAGTGCTGGGACCTTAAACACTTGTGAGCAGCCATCTAAGGTGCAGCTATTGGTTTCCTCCTGTCTGGAGCAGAGAAGAGGGAAACCCTTTGAAGACACATGGAGACAGCGTGCTGGTTAAATAGACAACTCGAGCATCTGTCCCCATGACCCTGAGTCCAGGAGAACTAGATGGTGCGGACTCCCACTACCAACTACTCAGAAAAAGGGTGGAACTAGATGGTGCAGACTCCCACTACCAACTGCTCAGAAAAAGGGTGGAACAAAACTCAAAAGTCACCAAAGAGACCAGGCTGATTAGTCAGAAAGAGACCAATTGGATACCAGAGACCAGAGACCTTAGACATCCTTCAGGTTGGAGCGGAACTCATTGCTAGGGCTCAGCCCATTCACAGATGAGTCATCGACAAGGGGACCAGTGACACTCAGAAGAAGCTGATAAGGGTTAGGGAAAGAGGAGGCATGGAAACAGGAAACATAGAGAGGAAATGGGAAAATGGTGTGACCTCATTGGGATGCCTATCGAAGACATGAAACAAAGCATGCATGGATCCTTGGGTGGAAAGTTGATCTGTTCCGTAGACCCTCACAATGAAAGTTTGTTTTTTAAAAAGATACGGAGCTAAATCTCTTCTCATCCTTCAGATCCCAAACACTTTCACTTATTTGTAGTTTCCTTAAAGAAAAACTAGTTTCTGGTGGCACTTTGATGGTATTTTTTTCACAGCAATATTACATGTTTATACATTGTGGTGGGAGGTGGGGGGAGACAGACTCAAGAGGCATAACTAATCAGATCAGTAGACTCTGAGCAGGAGGACAATGCTTGTATTATGGGGAAGTCTTTGCAGAAGAATTTTATGCTCAAACAGATTTGTGAATTAGGCCCACCGATATTATTTTCCATATAAGAAAAAAATAAAAAATGAAAAAACCACCCTGGAGAGGAGAAGTTATTTTTTTGGAGTGAGTCTGCATTGGAGAAGGTTCCAGAACCAACGATTTATCCTTCCAGGTCTGAGGGTCTTTGGTGGTCATCAAGCCCCTTCGGTGTCTGCCCTTAAGTATCTAATAGTTTCAGATGATTCCTATAGGAATCTCTATTCCTTTGGTCACCCTATGTGTTTTCCTGAGCATCTTCTTTCATGCCAAAATATGCTTTTAAAAAACAGGTCGTCCCCAGAGCCGTGGATACCTATGGTTCTGTATATGGAAGCCATCCCATACTCTGCTTTATTTCTAGCATGTCCCTGAAGGTGCTTAATGCAGTGTTGGAACTGCTGGCCTCCCTCAGTTGGAAACAGGCTATACTACTTGCTAGATCCTAGATCAAGGGCTGGGCTAGAGTTCTGAGGAGGGACCCCAAGAGGCATCTTGAACAGGGGCCCTAAGAGCAGGAAGGATCAGGCAGGTGCTTCAGACTGCATAGGCCTGAGATGAGGCGTACGCCAAGACAGGGTAGCACCGAGAGGATAGGCAGAAGTGAGG